CAGGCTCACACACTTGATCACTTGGTCACAGGTGGTTGTGCTTTTGGGAGATGTTATGAAACCTTTTGGAAGATGAAAATGTGATCATTCAGCTTCTTGATCCTGTCACCAGCTCTTTCCACCATCAACTATGTGGAGACTCTGCAAACACCACAGCCTTCAGAGTGTTGTTCCACGTGAGGCAAGAAGGACATCTGGTATTAGTTCAAACTTCAAGAGCCTGACATTGGGTGGTTTATTTTAGGCATATTTAAGCACAGTACAATTTGGAAAAGCATTTCCTGGTGATAATTAACTCAAACCTGTGTGTACAACAAAAACTTTAAAACATGACCACATGGAAACTCTAGTGAAGTTCAAGTAACCTTTTCTCTTACACAGTAGCTGAGGGAGCAGGCTCAAGGTAAACAATGCTCCTGATAAGGCTCTTGGGGAAGATAGCACTATAGATAAACATGAGTCTGTGGGAAGTGGTGTGGCCTGACAGTGCACAGATGTCACCATGCTATTAACCACAACTGTTTCCAGACTTCTGTGTGGAAAACAAGTTATACACCTCTCTCTTTGACGAGACAACCCTGTATTTTTAACATTTCTGGTTTCCCTAGTGCTTATGTATGAGCCCAAGGACCTACATGCTTCCTACAATGATGGACTCTTCCCTAAGTGATGCTGGTTGTGGTATTTTATCATGGCAACAGAAAAGTAAATAGTACAGTGACCCATTGCACCCAACTAAGGGTACATGAACATGACAAGATGCACTCTTGGTCCAGCTATGCAGTAATCCTTTTCTATTCTTTTCCTGGATGGCTTGGGGGGGGAGGGGATTCCATGATGAATTTGGAAGCTAAAGTTACAAGTGCAAAATAACTGGCCACTAGTGTCTAAAGTGCTACTTGAAGCAGATTTCTCTTCACCTGTTCAGATTTACCAAAGAAAGGAAGAAAGGAATAAACTGTCTGCTACTTTTAAAAACACTCTCTCTCTCTCTCTCTCTCTCTCTCTCTCTCTCTCTCTCATCTATAGGAACACTAGAAACCTCCACATTGAGTTTGGAAATGATCAGTGAGATGAGTAGCTTGGATATCATCTGAAAAGGAAACTTACACATGAACAGTTGGTGCTGGTTTTCTGTTTACGATGTGTGATTCCATCTTGAAATCACCCACATAAATTCTCTCATTGCTTCTCCACTTCTAAGCCTTTTGGCTAAGACTGTATATGTGCATTAGTCTCATTTAATACACTTGGTAACATCATGAGGAATGTGAAAATGATCTCATTGTACAAACAGGTTCATCAAAACGTAAGCTAATTAGTCATTTGCCCAATGTGTCACAATTGTCAGTAGATAAAGTTCAACATAAAGAATTTTATTCCAAAGTCTTTTTGTCTGAAATAAAAAATACTATACTTATTTTGCTGCATAGAGAGAAACAATGAGACATTGCTCAGTAGTGGAATACAATAATTTGAATTAGTCACATTTCCTATCTCTTGATATAACAATTTCTATGAAGTCCTAAAGAATCCTGAAAACCTCATGAAGACGTGCAATGCTATTTTATGTTTCTCTTTAAATACCAAATGATTCAGATGCCACATGTCTTAGATTTGACAGTGAAATCCCTTTTACATTTGCTGTTTCACTTTAAGCGCTTAGCTGTGGCTTTGGCTTCTTTTGATTTCTGTTTTGTAACAGGGAACAGCAAGTGCCTGAGAGGTTTCTAGATTTCATGAACTCATGAGTTTCATTAAGTATATAAAATTAGACCTTACTCTTTAATCAGCAATCAATTCTGCACATTTAGAGGTCAGCCCTCAGGTTACAAAACTCAACATCATTTTGTGCTCTGAGTTAGGAAAATCTATTGTGATCTAATATAGTGTCATCCTCATTGTGCCCAGAAAAAAACATTCCTCACACACTGGATCAATATCTGTGGTGGGAAGTCTAAACTATATTAATTGGGTTGGTGCCTGTCTGGCTTTTAGCCATTTTCTCAGAAGTTTCAGACTAGATTCTAAAAATCAATGTTTCCTGTTGCTCTTCTAGCATAGAAGTGTGTAGGAGGAATTTAGCAGAATAGTTCAAGGCAAAACTCAGCTTTTAGTTACATTACAGTATACTTCAGGAGAGAAGTCAGACAGATTGCTCTGTGAGAACATAAACATAGCCATACCCTTGCCTTACTTTTAAAAATACGAACACCCATGTCAAGCCTATAGATTTTTCCTTCATGTTATGATATCTGTAATTAAGGCCTCAGCCATTCATCGTGTTTTTTTAAATGTTTACTTTTTGTCCTATGTGTATTAGTATTTATATGCGTTAGTATTGCCTGTATGTATATATGTATACCAAATGTATACCTATTTCCCTTGGAACTGAAATTATAGTTCTGAGCTGCCATGTGGATGCTGGGAACTGAACCTGGGTCCTCTGCAAAAGCAACAAGTGCTCTTAACCCCTCAGTCAACTCTCCAGCCAACATAATTATTAATGAAAGACGAGTCAAGTGAACATTTTCTTGAAATTGGTTTAAATCTGTTTAAACCACCTTTAAAGAAAATTATTGCAAATCTTAGGAGTGTACAGTGAAGGAAGATTTTATAATCTTCTGTGCAGTTAATTTTTAACTTTTCTCCATATAATATCACTTTATTGTAAGATTAAAAATAAAAATAGGAAATAAATTTAAAAATCTGGAGAAATATAGTTCTATAAAATGCTGGTAGCAGTAGTCTATGAGTGATAAAATGGTAGATACATAAATGCCCACATGGATCACTTTTCTGATTTTTTTCCCTAGAAACAACCCAAATCAACTGTAGACTTTTCTATTGCCTGTGAATGAAGTGTGTCTCTGCATTAGTGCATACCTATTCACTTGTAGCCAGTGGTTTCTCAGCAGTTTTACCCTGGTGAACTAAAATTGTGAGGTTGAGTATCTATTTTTTTTAGAATATAAGATAGAATAAAGATATTTAGCTTTGTGTATTTTTAAGTTGAATAGGTATTCCTTTGCATTGAGCTTCAATACTCTACACTCTGCCAGGGAGCCTTGGTTGGACTGTGAAATGGTGGTGGGACTTCTGAAGTCCTCCAACGTGGGCAGGTAGTTGAGTATTATATATATATATGGAATTTTGGGAGAGATGAATGGAAAAAAACTAAGAAAATTGTATCATTAGCAGGTTTTCAACATATTAGGAAATGTCTGCCAAGACTCCTCTCTCAGACAGTTTGTGAAGTTTGTCTTGAAGTTGCTTCCCACTGTCCAAAAGGCAACCCAGTGTCTGTCTAGCATACAGATCCTTTTTCAACATGACCCCATCTACCTCTCTAAATTCATTGCTTTCTTTCAACTCTTATAAACATGCTATTGTTTGAGTGTAACATGTTCTCACAAACCAAGAATGCTGGTGTATGCCTGTAATACGGGTACTTGAGCTATGAAAGCAGGGGGATAGCAATCCATAATTATCCAGGAATTACATTTCAAGTTCAAGGGCAGCCTGGGTGACATAAAACTCTGACTCAAAATCATGAGACTGAACAACAATGTTCCACACAGGGTCATGTATTTGAACACTTGGTCTACTATGGAACCTCTGGGACTGTGGCCTACCTAGCAGAAGTAGATGGCTGAGGGCAGGTCTTGAAGGTACCATCCTCTTATGGGTCTTATCTGAGCTCTTTGCTTCCTTCTGCCTACAAGGTGGATTAACCAACTTCCACTTTCATTATTGTGAACAGAAGCTGGGCCCAGCTGCCATGCTCTCTCTCCCCACAATGATAAGTATTCAGGAACTCAAACTTTGGCTCTTGCCCATATTTCACTTCTATCTATTCAACCAAATCCCTCCCTGTCAGAGTCTCCATGTTGGAACCTCCATGTTCTCCTGTTTTCATATTAAGTTAAATCTCTCCTCTAAGTTTGGTAAAAATGACTTTATATTCAAGATAATGTCTTAATCTGAGTGTTACTTGGTATAAAACAAAGTGTGCAACAGAAAAGAACTCTGGAGAGTGACATAAGAAAGAACACTGCAGTCATAGTTTGTTCATCTGTATAATGATTCCCATATACCCCACAGGTTTGCCATGGCAAGTCAAATGGTGGTCTAGAAGCGTGCCCCATTATCTCGTCACCACTATGAAGCAGCACTCTTATTCACTGACTCAGAGGCCTTTGACCCAGGCTACAAGAGCCTGGACATATCTAGACTTAACTCATGGCACCATTTTCACTTCACTTAGGGCAAACTGTATCCTGAACTTTGTTTTTTTTTTCATGGAAAAATTAGAGCAACTAAAATAAAAACTATAAACTAAAATAAAGATCATATAGTTATTTTAAGTATTTCATGAGATAAAAAAAAAATAAACGCTCATAGATCAGTACCTGGGCCAATTTTCTTCAGAAAAGCAACACCCAGTAACTGATGGAAGCAGATGCACATATCCACAACCAAACACTAGGCAGGGCCAGGGAACCCCCCACTGAAGAGGCAGGGGAGGATTGCAGGAGTCAGAGGTGTTGAGGACATGGCCCACCAAATCAACAAAGCAGGGGTCATAGGGGATCATAGAGACTAAAGTGAAAAATGAAGATTTTTTTATGGGTCTGAATAGATCCTCTGCATATATGTTATAATTGTGTAGCTAGGTGTTCTTGTGGAACTCCTTACAGTGGGAGGTGTCTCTGTCTCTTTTGTCTGCCACTAGGACCCTTTTCCTCCTAATGGGTTGCCTCATCCAGCCTTCATAAGAGGGTTTGTGCCTACTGTAATAAGTTGTTATGCTGGGTTCAGTTGATATTCCTGGGAGGTCTGGTCTTTTTTTTTAAGAGAAAAGAAGGAGGAGTTAGAGAGAAAGTTGGGGTGGGGAATGACTGGGAAAAGTGGAGAAAGGGTAAACTGTAGTCAGGATGTAATGTATGAGAGAAGAATAAAAACAATGTAATTAATTAACTAGTCAATTAATAGTAATATAGATAATAAATATACATCTTTATTGATGATGTAGTTTTCAGTTTTTGGAGAAATTCATACATGAGTATGGCATCTATATCATTTTGCTCCTCCTTCTCAAATATAAGGCTTCTTCTTCAGGAAACTGAATCCATAAGATCTCAAAGATAAGGTTACCCAAAGAAGACCCACATAATAGCAATGCCAGGTGATATGCCAACATGGATGTGGAAAATTCCATAAGGTCCCATTCCTAGATGATAGGTTTCTCAAGGGATAAACTCCCACATTGTCCAATCTCAAGCTGTCAGACATAAACACATGTAGATACAAGCAGTACAGGTATGTGGTGTATACATATGGGGGGATAGATAGATACATACATAGATACATGCATACATACATACATACATACATACATACATACATACATACATATGGCTATATAAACAGTAGATATTTCATAAGACAATAATGTAAATTCTTTATTCTGGTAAATAAGCAAAAGCTAGCATTATGACTGGGGTTTATAGCATGCTCTTACACTGTTTTTATTTAACTGAGTTACAGGAATTAGGATCCTGTGAACTATTTAGCCTTGTGAACTTAAAATATGAAAGGCCAGTCCTGATTCAAATTCCTAATTAAGATCTTGAACTTTCCAACATTCAAGGAAGTAGCCTCAAGAACATATTATTAGGAATGTTTATATAAGCCAACCTCAAACATTTCTCTTCTCATTTCTATATTCCCTAGATGTAGACAAAGGAAAGACCAGGGATGGTGCCTCTCTCTCTGCATCTTTCATCTGTTGATAAGCACTGACCATAGTTGAGAAAACTCAAGAGCTTTTTCTTTTTTGTTACAGTCTTAAAACTTGTGACTAAGATCATAAGGAAATGAATGACCACTACAGAACCGCAGAAAAACACAGAAACTATCCCCAGAGGAGTGTGGCTATGTAGGCAGTTTCCTCTAAAATATATTTTTTTCAACTCATTCCTAAGAGAGAATAAAAGCTGCCTTGACTATGAGTTCTATCCTCTAGTAGATGCCCATTAATATTTTCTCATGAAATAAGTTTGCCTGAAGGATTTAGACATTCCTATAGTAAAACCCCAAATTAACATTAGACAAGTATAATTTGCCTCTGAGTCTCAACTAGCCGGTTCATCATTCCCAAATCTAAACCAACAATGTAAAAGAAGCAGACAAGACTCCTGTAAACTGATCCAGCAGGGAGTGTGAGATCTCTCAGACTCCATCAGCTGCCTGGGTCTCTACAGTCTGCAAGTATCATTTTTCCTACTTACCAAGGGCTTGGTTTCATCTTCATCTTTGAAATAATAAAGCTGATCCCCTTTGAGGACAAACCAGCGGGTATGCCAAGTCTTGACAAAGCCTCCTTGCTTCCTCAGCCACCCACACTTGGTGGCATTCTGACGCCCTTGGACTTGGGAGTTCTCCGTAGTATCATTGTTCTCTTCCATTTTCAAGCTGATGGCCTTTTCTGTTTAGAAACAAAAGGAAAGAAAAAGAATAAGGTAGTCTGTCACCACTGTTCTTAAGGAGAGAGAGAGAGAGAGAGAGAGAGAGAGAGAGAGAGAGAGAGAGAGAGAGAGGGAGGGAGGAAGGAAGGAAGGAAGGAAAGAAGGAAGGAAGGAAAGAAGAATATGTATCAGCTCACTGACTGGATTTCTATAAGCTGTCCACAGAGCTGCCAATGTTATGCCCAAAGGGAGAGAACATGGTATACTTGCTTGCCTTCTCAGTGGGGGTGAGAAGCCTTTCTTCCTGAGTAGAGCTACAGAATGGGAAAGTTCTAGAGGAATGGGCAATAAGACAGAGTTTTCAGCATCTAGGCTGGTGTGTGTGCTGTGCAGTGCTGGGGGCCTGCATGTGCATGCCTGGCCTGCGGTTACCTGAGCAAGCACTATCCCCACACATGTTAAAGCTTAAAGAGACTATTTTAAAAACCTCAGCGGAAGATGTTTGGTTTGCACATGTGAAAACATCTCTGAAGATGCTGTTCTCTGCTTCCTCCAGAGAATCCACAGAGGGTTTTCTCAGCCAGGGATCTGTGCAGCCAAGTAAGTTTCTGAGAAAACAAAGAGAGAAAGAAAACATCCGCCATGGCTAGATGATTTTCCTTTTCCCCGCTGGCTGCCTCAAATTCAGGGAATGGGGGCGGGATTAAAATGCAGGAGACATTGAGAACCATTCCAGGCTGTGTATAACAGAGTCCAAGGGCATCCACTCTATACAGAGCAAGAAAATGAGCCACATGAATGGAGAATCATCTTCATCCTTAGGAAGCTAGACCTGCATAGTGGAAACAAGAGGATGGGCATGAGGTGGGCTTTTTTGGAGGTGGGCAAAGGTCATCATGGAAACAGATCTTGGGAAACGTAGTTAAGAATCAAGAGACTGTTTTGATGTGGTTAAAAATGAAGAGATGTGTCTTTCTATCTCAGAGGCTCCCTCCAGTTTCTTGCTAGTGTTTATTTTTAAGCATTTATTCAGGAAATGGAAAGTGCTAGCCCATCCTGGGTCTTTGTATGAGGACACAAATGCAAAATTAACTCACAAAGCACAGACTACCCAAAGGCATTTTCATGTCTGCCTTTATTTTTAATAATTCTAACTTGCACCTGAAGAGGAGCTTTCTTGTGTCCAGAGTCCCAGTCACCAATTCCGTGGTGGCTTTTGCTTTCAAGGAACTCTGCCTTCAGCTGGGGTCCTTGGGTTCTTTCAATGTACTTCTATAACTAATTATGCAGCAATAAATTTGAATTTAGGTTCTAATCTTTTTACTTTGTTCACTTCAACCGTCTTCTTAGGTGGCTTTTGTCTCCTTCACTGGCAGACATTCCAATATTCCCCATTCTTCCTTCAGTTTTTCCATTAAGTTATTTTATACTTTAGTTGGGTTGCTTAGTCTTCTGGAGCTCATTTGGCATCTGCAGGTACCTTTTAATGCTGAAACTCTCCCCTTAGAGCATGACAAAACCTTTCCCTCCAGGGGGCATTCCCGTGGCAGTGACAGCTGATTGCAGTAACATTCACTCCCCATGTGTGCATGTGTGCAAGTATCTGCAGATTGGATCATGCCTGATGCTTTAAGTTTGTTATGCCCCTAGGGCAGGAACTTTCAATGCCACAGCACTTGACCTAGTATCAAGAAGCAGGCAAGCCCCATTCTACATGAACAGTAAATACCACAATGTAATTTAGACAGTAAGTCTGCTAATTTAGAGCACCCTAAATAATCTTTTTTTTAATCTCCTGGTATTTAAATTATTCCACCATACACAATTTATTTCTTCACCATTTACTTATCCTTTGACCAAACTACAGACTATAAAATAAAAATTTCAACACACACACACATACACACACACACACACACACACACACACACACACACACACACACACCTATAATGTATTACAGTGAAACAAATAAACATATTCTTTCTCTGAGGCCTTTTTCTATCTTTTCTCTCAAGCTTAAGCATTTTACTAACTTAAAAAAAAAAACTACCTCTAAAGATTTCCAAGATAATTAGCAAGCTACCATCAATAATATAGAAATGCACACAGCCAATTCCCATTTTTTCTTCTCTTTATACCTTAGTGGAAAATGTGTGTGTTAGAAGATTGTTTATGACTCTTCTTGCATCTGTTGCTTAAATTCAGAGGAAGTATTGCCTGCTGAACTCCTGGGAAAGCTACAGTTAATTTCATGACTTCATAATACATGATAAAGTGTCTCAACAACATTAATTTCATTATTAAAACAAATGAACATGATTTATTATAGACCTAAGGGAAAAGAGTGCCATGAGTATTGCTGTGTGGAAGAAAAACAAAACAAAACAAAAACTGAAGTCCTACAAAAATAACCAAGGTGTTTGTAGACAGGTAGAGTCATACACAGAAACAGCAGAACCCTCTTCTCACCTCTAAAACAAAGAGGAGTTAAATCATTTCCAATTGGGTCCTTCCAGTTTATTGTCTCTACAGTTCTGTAACTGTGGGGGCATCAGATAGGCAGCTATCATCCATACCCAGTACAGCATCCATCTGATACAGGGTGATGGTCAATCAATGTTTGATGAAGTAATCAATGTTGCATTAGGGTCTTATGCTGGATGACTAATAGTGACATTATCTCCTCCTGAAATCTCTGGACCCTGATCTGCCACCCTCTCCCACACACATACACAATAACCATAGCAGGTTCTTTTAAATTTGGAAACACCCAAGCTCCTTTATGTCTGGGAGCTTGATTTATGTTGGCCTCTCTCTAGAATGCCCTGCCTGTTTGTTTCTTTGCACAGCCTTTCACCTGACTCTCAGTCTAAAATCCACCTCTCTCAGTAGCTGCCTGGAATCACCCCATGAAAGAATTGAGATCTTTGTGTGAGCTCTTTGTGTTCTTGGTCATCCAACTCTGACCCCTTACCTGTTTTTCTAACAGTTCCCTGAATTGCTAGCTATCTTATGGGATTTCATTCCTTTGATTTCTCTTTCATTGTCTGTCACACCCCCTAACTTCCAAAGAAACTATAAGCTTCATGAGGTTAAAGCTGCAGCTTTGTTGCCTACAGCATCCCAGTGCTCTTCACAGTACATACTGGGTACAGTACATATCAGCTGCATGAAGAGTAGGTGGTATGTGTCCTAGTTTGTTTCTTTATTGCTGTGGTAAAAGCAAGCAAACAAACAAAAAAACTCACAAAACACTGACCAGAAGCTGTGTGTGTGTGTGTGTGTGTGTGTGTGTGTGTGTGTGTGTGTGTGTATGGGTCAGGGATTAGCTTATATGTCCCCATTACAGTCAGGGTAAGTCAGGGCAGGAACTCAAGAAAGAATCTTGGAGGCAGGAACTGAAGCAGATGCTATGGAGGAACATTGCTTACTGGCTTATTCAGTCTGCGCTCTTAGGCAACCCAAGACCACTGCTCAGTGGTAGCATTTTCCACAATGAGCTGGGCCCTCCCAAATCTATCAAAAATCAAGGGGCCCATGGGCCTGTCTATAGAGCAGTCTGATGGAGGCATTTTCTCAGTTGAGGTTCCTTCTTCCCACATGACTAGTTTGTGTCAAACTGACAACAATCTAACCAGTAATAGTTAACAACCAGAACAGAATTCCTATAAAAAGTGCCTTGGAGGGTTCTTTATTTGTGTTATTTAATGTCATTGTAGTAGTTGTGTATTTTAGGAACTTGAGTTTTTTTCCTTTGACATTGGAGATTTCAGTTAGCATGCAGTCATGATAACCACACTTGAATAACCTTAAATGACCTTTACAATACAAAATAATTAACAGCAGCAGCAACAAACAAGTAAACCATAAGCTTGACAATTTCACTTTCAAGTCTTGAGAGTAAATACATGTATCACTGGTGGTTTAACATCAGACATGTGTGGTTCATATGCTCCCATTTCAGGGCATAACTCACTGGATGCCTTCTGGGGAGCTCCTTTCCCTCACAGTCAGGGCATTGCAACTGAGTGGTGGCACATGAGATAACAGAATAGAGCTATCAACATCAATACTGAGTGACATCAAAGGTGGAGAATTATAACAATGTAAATACATAGTGACTCTGAACTACAACAAAAAACTGAACTGAAAAATTAACTGGCATTTTCATATCACTTGGGAAAAGCCTTGGTGACAGCTACTAGGACATGTCATGGCTAAGGATGCTCCATCATTTAATTACCTTATAGCTGTCAATGGTTGTTCAGTGTCAGAGAGTGACTTTGAATCTACTAATATAGAGACTTTTTGCAAACAGAGGAATGAGGAACATGTGGTATGATCAGAAGGGAATTCATTCTCCTAACAGAGTTTTCCAGACTCAAAGAGCACACATGCAGGAACTTAGATTGGTGACTTCATTCCAGTAGAGGATACATTTACAAAACTGCATATAAATAGGATGCCAGATGCCACAGGGTTGTAATATATCCAAATTTAGCTGTACATATTCAACTACACATGTCCAGAAAATGCAAGAAAAACAACGCAAGGAAGGAACAGAAGGGACAGAGAAGAGGAAAAAAGAAGGTGGAGGTACAAGTGAGTGATTCCACAGGGATACCTGCTCCCCACTGTGCACAAGAGGGCCACAGCTGTGTGAAGCCAAAGCTCTGCAGCCTCAGAGGAGATGGATGTCCCACAGCATTAGTGGAAGCTCAAGAATCTACATGCCCATGACCCCATGCCTCACAGATGCTCATCACAAACAAATGATTCCTGTGAGCATGACAGTATCTGTTCTGTCCTGGGAAAGAAAGTAAAAATCAGCAATGTTGGCAAAACACTGCAATTTATAAGGTGCTTATGTAATTTTGGTCATATCTAAATGTGACCATTTTTTTTTCAGAGAGGGGTAAGGCATTCCAACTAAACTCATTTATAAGAGGCTATTCCATTGCACACCGTATGTGGTCACAAATACCCAGTATTTGACTGAATTCTGCTCTCTCTCATT